AAAGGCCCTAAGATGTACTAGATTTGGTTTTCTTCCTTTTAGCAGCTCATATGGTGTTTTGTCTAACATTGATCTGATCATACATCTGTTTATTAGATAGCATCTTGTGTTTACTGCTTCAGCCCAATAGAATTTTGGAAGTATGCTTGAGATTAGCATTGTTCTTTCAATATCTTCCAGTGTTCTATTTTTTCTCTCAACAACACCATTTTGTTGTGGTGTTCTAGGTGCTGAAAAGTTATGTTCAATCCCATTTGTAGTACAAAATTGTAGGAATTGTGAGTTCTCAAACTCCAGCCCATGATCAGATCTGATGCTGATTATTTCTTTGTTGAATTTCTTCTAAACCAGCTGTGCAAAGATTTCAAACATAGTGAATGTCTCGTCCTTTGTTGCAAGAAACAATGTCTAAGTGAATCTTGAGTAGTCATCAACTATTACAAACACATATCTTTTTCCACCCCTGCTTAGTACACACATTGATCCGCACAGATCCGTGTGAAGCAGCTCTAGTGGCTTGGTAGTACTTACTGTCAACTTTGGTTTGAAGGATGACCTAACCTGTTTTCCTTGAATGCAGGTTCCACATACTTGGTTGTCCTTGAAACTTTTGGCTGGCAGTCCCCTAACCAGGTCTTTAGATATGAGCTTGTCTATAGTTGTCATGCTAATGTGTCCCATTCTTTTGTGCCATAGCATAGAGCAATCAGACACTGCACTTAGACATTTAAGAGTACCTTCCTTGGAGTCAACAATCTTGGCTTTGTACACATTCTTGTGTCTCTTACCTAGTAGAACCAGGTTCCCAGTTACTGAGTTTGTTACTCTGCATTCCTTTTCTGTAAAAAAACGTTGTTTCCTTTATCACATATTTGAGATATGCTCAATAGATTATGTTATAGGCCATTGATATAATATACATTCTCAATTGCATGAGTATCCATTGATCCAACCTTTCCAATTCCCTGAATTTCACCACTTTTTCCATTACCAAAGGCAACGTTTCCTCCTTTGATGTTCTTGAGTGAGAGGAAGCTTCTTTTATCTCCAGTCATGTGTCTGGAACATGCACTATCCAGGTACCATTGTTGCTGCTTCCTCTTCACTGATCCCTGCAATTTAATTTTGGGAATTAGATTTTGGTACCCAAATCCACTTTGATTTATGCTTAGGGAATGGGTGGATAAGATTTCTTCAGGCCCATCTAGGAAAAGATTTGTCTTTAGGAATTTGGTTTTGCGCATTGGGTTTCTCATGATGAGGTTTTCTCAAGGACTTCAAGTTTTTGTTATGAGCAGTTTGTTTTCTTTGACAATCATGGCTTTCATGTCCTTCCAGCCCACAGTGCATGCATAGACAATATATGTTGGGATTTTTTACTTGAGAGCTAGTTCTATCAAAACCTATCCCATGTTTCTCAGATGTGCGATTCTTGTGCATGTTGTCAAGCAGTATGGAAGACCTGGTCCATCTCATTCCATTTTCTGCTTCAGTTTTAGTCACAAGAAGCTCTTTGGAGAGTGATTCATTCCTTTTAGTTATCAAGTCTAGGTTTTTACTTAGTTTAGTATTCTTGGATAAAAGATGAAGATTTTGTTTTTCAAGAATCTTGTTTTCTTCCCTTAGTGATGCATAGTCTTCCATTATCAATTCCTTTTTTGAGTCTACAATTTTATATGCATCAATAAGAGTGTAGAGTAGGGATTCTAGCTCCCTTTTTGAGTATGAGCTTAGATTGTCTTGTATGTGATGAAGACTAACCTTTTCATTCATATCTTCTTCTTCCTCCTCCTCTTCAGAATCTGATCCAGCCATGAGTGCTAGTATGGTTTCTTGTGATCTGCAAGTTTTCTTTTCTTCCTTAGTTTCCACTGCTACAGGGGCAAGAAAGTCATAATCATCTTCTTGTTCTAGTGCAAGAAGAGACTGGTTTTTTGTCTCATCACCCTCAAACTCTTCATCAGATCCCCATTGCTGCAAAAGCCCTCTTCATTGACATGTCTGCCTCTTGAGTTGTCATTCTTCTGTTTGAGGGGACAAACTTATCCTTTTTTATGTCTTTCCCCTTCTCAAAGTTTACCTTTTTCTGCTCTAAATCCCAAAGTGGACATAATTTGATGAAGTGATCTAGGCTCTCACACTTGTGACAAACCTGGTCTTTAGTGTTTTCGGATGGTTTTTGAAAAGCTTTCTTTTAAAAGGTCTGCCCTCTCTTTAGCATTCTAGTGAACCTTTTGGTTATGAGGGCAATATTTTCATCTTCAAAATCATCTGATTCAGTAGCCTTTAGAACCGGGTTCCTTTCCTTTCTTTTTCCTCCAATTTCCTTTTCTTGGTTTTTCTTAAGTTCGTATGTGATGAGATTACCAATTTACTCATCCATTCCCAGTGAGTCTAGGTCGCGGGCTTCAGTGATAACCTCGACTTTGCTTTTCCAAGTTTCAGGAAGGACACTCAAGAGTTTCCTTACTGCCTTTCTGTTATGCACTATTTCTCCTAAAGAGTACATCTCATTAATGATGGAGGTGAACCTGGTGTGCATGTCTTGAATAGTCTCCCCTTCTGCCATCCTGAACAACTCATATTGCCTGTTCAAGTTATCAATTTTAGACTTCTTGACTTGCGTTGTTCCCTCATGAGTTGTTTGTAGTGTTTCCCATATGGTTTTGGCATCTTGACATGACGAGATTCGATTGTATTCGTCTGGTCCTATGCCACATATCAGAATTTTCTTGGCTTTGGCATTGTTTTGAATTGCAAGCTTGTCTTCAACATTCTATTCTTTTCTTTCCTTTGGGATTTTGGTGATTCCATGAGTTGCGGTTTTCATAGGTATGGTTGGGCCATCTAGAATTACTCTCCATAGATCAGGGTTTTCGCCAATAAGATGGTCCATCATACGATTTTTCCACCATCCATAATATTTGTCATTGAACAGTGGTGGCCGTGTTTGTGAATCTCCCTCTTGTGGGTTAGGTGGTGCTGCCATTGAGTCTTTTCAAGGTGTGAATCTTTGGACGAAAAGACCTGCTCTGATACCAATTGAAGAAACCTTACCCCAGAACGAGAACCAGGTTTTTGTAAGTTGCTTTTATGTAAAGACACAAACACTTATTGAATTAAAAACCTTCCTCACTCAAGGAAGGAAAAACCTTGTTTTATTAATTTCAATTATAAGATTTTGTGATTACAACTCAATAATCAAAAGTCTTATCTCTACTACCTCTTCGATTGACTCAATCGATCTCTTCAAAAGGCCAAACCCACCTTTTGTTACACCTCTTACTAACACTCAACCCTACAAAGAGCCAAACCCACCCTTTGTACAATAAACTGTAAATTACAATCAAAACAAAAACAAGACATATAGTTCTATACGATAAAACCTTCTCACTCAAGAATGTTTTAAACGTAGCTATCTTATTACCTTTGAAGACTTCAATTTGATGAATAGTTCTCCCTTGTTCTCTGCGTGAACTCGTGTTGTTTTCCTCTGCCTCGTGCTCTTCTTATAGAGTTTTTGCCTTGTACAATCCTTGCTGATAAGGTAAGAAAGTTATGTTTAAACAAGGATTCTTTTTTAAATTAGAATCCTTATTATGCACAACTTCCTTCCTTAATAATATATTTAAGGTTTTCCTTATTTGTATTGACTTGTACCTTTAATATATTATTTTGGCTTTGACAAATAACTCTATTTTACTTGATCTTGGACTCTAGCTTGACTTCTTTTGCTGCGTACATTTGCTAATGTTCTTTGCGCTTTTTGTATATCATCAAAATGAATTATCGATTCTATCACATTCTATCAAGTACCAAGCCCATCCTTAGATCGAATAGAATCAGTACCAGGAACTTGGATGTGAGCATCCATGGCAACACTATTATTGTCCATGAAAACAATAAAATTGAACAGAAATAAGCAAGCTAACAACAAACAGAAAAAGAAAAAAGAAGAGAAATCTCTCGATCTCCAGTCA